AAAGTGCATATAATACTAGTTTTTTAATTGCCTACATCGACCCGTTTTCAAGTTTCGGTATGATGCAGCACTCCTGTCCTGACGCCTTTGTTAGGGTAACGCCTTTACCATCCTTATAAAACAACTATATATGTCACGACATAACTAAGTTAGTGAAACCGTTAATGTTGTGATACATTTCTGATTGATTTAGATGCGTTGTCGACAATTAATAAAACGCTAAAGATCTTGCGAAACACTTTTCTCTTGAACTTGCAGTGAGGCTTTATCATTCTATAGACACCAAGCTTCGGAGTTATATAGAAAAACACTTGAACGAAGTATAAAATGTAAGATTTTTTGGTCGTGAGTAAGCTTTACATCTCAATTGTTTCCTGAGACAATAGTAATACTTATTGACAACGATCATTTTCTGCACGATCTTCAGGTTGAAATTTTTATTGTTGATTGCGGTGGTGTCAAGATAGATGAAATTGAGCCGCAATGGCGTTAGCTTTTTAACGTGATTGCAGCTTAGCAATGTCAAATTTTTTTTTTTGATTTCATATTCTCGTGATCAGGGAAGAGTTGTTTATTATGAATACTAAATTATTTATTTATTAATTAATTATTTATTTATTTAATACTAAAATAATGTAAATAAAAGAAAACAAATTGAATAATAGAAGTTTATTTATTTATTTATATATTTAAATTTCTTGGTAAATGAAATGCTCATAAGATTTTAACAGATGACAGGAATTTTGCAACACATTTCCAGTGAACATTCACAACAGACTGATTTTTAAATTTGTCCGCACTAAAACTTTAAGACGTCAAAATTTTTGCGAGTAAAACCTAACTCTGAAGATTTTAAGAGTATTGTTGTTGCCTCACATGTTTTCTTTCGTAAGTTGCGAGTATTTTTTTGCTACTCTGAAAGAAAAAATTACGGCTATAGTCAAATGATGTTAACGAATTTTTTGTTTTTGTTATTTTTTTTAAGTGTGATTTTCCTATGCGAAGCCTACGAAATATTGCGAAGAAAACAATTGACGAAATTGTTGGCTTATAATATTTGTATTTCCCCAATGTGAATATGAATTTTGTTTTTTATAAGCTTATACTATGCATTATATTATACTTTGGTTTAATAAAAAAAATATAATTAAAACACTGTACAATGCAAAAAAATTCGTTCTGCCACTGCAAAACCAAATTTAACAGCTGTGCTGTCTTAGAGTTTCATTAAAACTAAAAAAAAAATATTGCAATTATAAACGCAATTACAATAGTATTAGTAAAATCAACAACAACTACAGCACAAATAGCAAACATCAAATTTAACCACGGCATATACAGGCAGTTGCCCTCGTTACCTATATATGGACATACATATATATATTTTCGCATTTATTTATTTTTTCGTTTCTCTGTTTTGTGCTCAGATTCACTGCGTCATCACTTTTACTGACGCTAGTGTTCGTTTGAGTATAGAAACAAAATAAAAATAAAAACAAAAACAAAACGAATTATTTATTATTATAAATAACCAAAGAGAAGAAAAAAAGATGGGTTCAGTGTGTTTGCAGTGTGATCAGTTTCCTTTGATGAGCTAATCGCGTTGCCTTGGGACAAGTTTGTTTCTTTTGTTCTTTTTATCTAAACTCATTTTGTGTGTGTGTGTGTGTATGTGTGTGCGGTGTGAAAGAGTATTAGACGAGTGAAAGAATTCTACTCAGTTCCAAAAGTCGTATTCGTTTGAATACGAAAACATGAATGTCAATACATAGTCTATATTATGCTTACTCTTACTCTCTTCAGTTGTAGTGTTCACAGTAACGTATTTGAGTTTTCTACGTCGTTTAAATATTTGCATGATTATTTGTGTTCTGTTGAATAGCGTTTTTTTTAGAATTGAAATCCACAGAACACACATAACACAATAGAACAAAGTATAGTAATAAATAATAATTGCCAATAATAATACCTTAAACAATCTCAATTAGCTGCTCAGAAAATGTGACCTTCGCATTGTCTAAATATGCGTATCAGTGCGAGCATCGTATCAATTACCAGGGGATAATCTGATCGCTGGTTCCTAACAGGTTCTAAATAGGCGTCGATTTTGCTACGTTTGTGCACTAAAAATAATAAAAATTGCTGCAAGGTATTAATGAGATGTGTTATATGTATATACAGTCGGAGTCATAAGTCTACAAGCAGGCAGTAAAAAAAATTTTGGAAAAATCTTTTATTGTTCACATTTTTGTGATTACATTAAGAACAGACATGCACATAGTAGAAAAAGTCTACGGATATTCACAAAATTTTTCTTAAATTACGCATAACTTTTTTAATTTTTACTCAAATTCATTTTTATTTCCTGATTTATTTTAACCAAAGAAACAACAATAAAGTTCCAATATTAAAACTAAACAGTTATTCTTTAAAAAAAAATTAAACACAATTATATGCAAAAGTAGCAATTTTTGAAACAGAAAAAGTCTACGGATATTTCTTAATATCTACATTAAAACAATAAAATTCACAAAAATCTTAAATTTAATAGCCTGTGGGATAACCTCTGCATTTAATAACCTCTGTTAAGCGTCTTTGCATGGACTCAACTAGCTTTGTAGTATCCTGTGCATTTATTTCTAGCCATTCTTCTTTGATGACGTTTCTTGCTATATCCTTGCTGGAAAACATATGCTGGCGAATCTTATTTTCCAAATAAACCCACAGATGTGGAAAGGACTAAGGTCTGGTGATTCTGGTTGTGTTTGAAGTTGCCTGAGAGCATAGTACAGCATCCAAATCCGTACGATGACTGTTGTATGTTTAGAGTCATTGCCCTGCTGAAACAAAAAGGTTGCCTCAAGTCCTAACATTCTGACATTTTCTTTCAAATTTGTTTTTAGAATATTTAGATACCCATATTTCTCCATTGTATCTTGTACAAATTCAAGTCTGACCGCACCATTATTTGCTATACACCACTAAATCATTACGCCTTCACCACCACGTTTTACTGTTGAAATAAAGTTTTGTTTATCATAGGCTGTACATAATTTTCTCCTTACAAATTTTTTAACTTTGATTCAAAATATGTAAAATTAACTCTCATCGGAGAAAATAACTCATTTTCAGAACTTTATAGGTTTATTTATATGCTTTCTTGCAAAGCTTAATCATTTTATTCTATTATATCAGGATATGTATGGCTTCTTTCCTGCAATCAGGGTATAATACATGCATTTCTTCAAAATTTTCCGCACAGTTTTAGGACATATTTTGTTTTCAAGTATTTCGGCAATATGTTCAGCTAGTTTGAAGGCTATTACTCTTGCATTTACTTTCACCTGGTTGATTATGCTACGTCTTTCTCTATTTAACAGAATTGAGGAGCGGCGAGTGCGAGGTTTAGAAACGGAAATGCTGGTCTCTTTGAAGTTATTTGTAATTCTCTGCACAGATGAATATTGACGACCAATATCTTCAGCAATTTTTCTTTGGCTTACGTCATCTTTCTAAAATTTAACAGCTATTTGTAGCTCACTAAAACTAATTTCACGTCCTTTTTTTTATATTGTAAAAATTTATTGCTTATATAAAAAAATGTTATTAAATGATTAATTTTTAGACTCTTTAGGAAGTCAACTAATAATTAAATATCATTTAATGATACTTTTATGCTTGCAAGCGAATTTAAATTAACGGTAAATGTAAATATTAAGAAATATCCGTAGACTTTTTCTGCTTCAAAAATTGCTACTTTTGCATATAATTGTGTTTAATTTTTTTTTTTAAAGAATAACTGTTTAGTTTTAATATTGGAACTTTATTGTTGTTTCTTTGGTTAAAATAAATTAGGAAATATAAATGAATTTGAGTAAAAATTGAAAAAGTTATGCGTAATTTTAGAAAAATTTTGTGAATATCCGTAGACTTTTTCTACTATGTATATCTTTGTAACATAATTACAATAAATAGGTCGCATATATCATCTTTTCTAAAGATTGGCAATATGTTTTTTTTTTAATATTAGCAGAGTTTTCTGATTTAAAAATTCTATCGTAAGCCTTATGATCTAAGATATATTTTGGATTGTGCTGATATATTACTCAAATATTATGTACTAGTAGAGATTACATCATTCTATGGCGTATTTCTTTTCTGGCTTAAGTGTTTTATAAATTCTCTATCACACTCCCAAAGCAGACAGGAGTTGATCAATGTTCGTACCAAACTTTTACCTAGGTTTTGGTGTATGTTGTTCTCTGCCTTTTAGCTGGGATATGAGTTGTGGTTCCTTCATATATTGTATATTGTGAGAATTGATGCTAATGGCTATAGTAAGGATTTGGACAAGATTTGCAATGGTGCTGTTATGTGTTATCAGACAATAATCAATAGTCGATACTGTATTAACTCTAAGGTAAATACAATTTATTTCTCTATATTTAACGATTTTATTTGCAGTATACTTCAGTTACAATACGTCGGTAGCACTATATAAAGGTTGTCTTTTGGCTTTATTTCTACCGCGGTATGATTCTGTATCTCTGTAGTATATCGCTCACGCGTTCTCTGTTGGTAATACTAGTTGTTGATTTCAAGTATAATGAATGTTCTATTAAATATGATTCGTACCTTTCCCTAGCATAATCCGCATTACTTTTTAAACCACCTGAAGTACCTGAAGTACTATACCAAAGATATTCTGCAGTATTAGTTTAATTTGAAATCGATTTTGTTAACAGAGTAAGTATTAAGTATTTTATTTAGTTTTGAGATGGCGTTGCACTTTGAGGTTAAGAGTTTTCTGAATCTTTAATTTTGTTTAGCAAGATTAAGTCGCTAATGTTGGCTTTAAGGAGGACAGTTCCACGCATTTGCATTAATTCACTATTTGCTGGACTGCATTCATTTTCCAACTACATTAGTACTATTATTTTTTTCCATTCTGAAGTATATTATAAGATGATTTTCTACATTTTGTTTTTTTTTTTTTGCAGATCAATCTCTATTGTCAGCCATGTCGGTTTTCGTCTTTACTCAATTAGTTCCAGTGATAAAATCGATGAAATATTTTCCAAGGACAATGAAAACATACGATTGGTTGAGCGCCTATTTAACAGTTCGCTGGTAGTACTGGTCACCGTACAAAAACCTAATTGCCTGAAAATGCTGCATTTCAAGAAAAAACAAAACATTTGCAATTGCGTTTATCCTTCAGAGATTTTATGTGTGCGCATGAATCGTCATCGTTTGGTGGTTTGTCTAGCTGAGAGTATACACATACACGATATACGGGATATGAAAATATTACATTCCATTGATAATATTGCACCCAATGAACTGGGCTTGTGCACACTTTCATTACATTCACATTTAGCATTTCCAATTTGTACCACAACTGGTGAATTACGTATCTTCAATGCAAATAAATTACGGCCGGGCCTCACGATACGTGCACATGATACCGCTTTATCAGCATTAAATTTCTCGTCAAGTGGTACGCTGTTGGCAACTGCCTCAGAACGTGGTACTGTGATACGAGTCTTCTGTGTCAAGAACGGTCAACGCATACAAGAATTTCGACGTGGTGTGAAACGATGTGTGCGCATCGCTTCACTTGTTTTCTCAGTCAATGGAGACTATTTATGTGCTTCATCCAATACGGAAACAGTACACATATTTAAAATTGATGGAAAGGCTGTAGAAATAGCAGAACAAAAAGGTATTATTAGAGGTGAGTGTTGTTGTGTTCTAATGCTTATATTTTTATTTAATTTTAAATTATTCATATCTCTTTTGTTAGTAACGAAATCAAATGAAAGCGATTCAAAAAAAGGGCAGAAACTAGCAGAAGAGAAAACTTTACCTGCCACCTCTAAAACTGATAATGCTACAGCTGCAACCGCAAATACTACTGTAAATACAAATACAAATGAACCAAAAACGGAAGAGGCTAGTTCCGCTCATATGGCTGCCGAAGTATGTGGTTGGTCAGGTTATCTATCAAAGGCTGTTACATCGTATTTTATACCCTCCCAAGTAAGTGATGTGTTGGCACAGGATCGTGCTTTCGCCACAGCTGTTCTGGCACAACCAGGACTTAAGCATGCGTTAGGCTTGGCTCGTGTACAAAAAGAATTGAAACTCTTAATTGTGTGTGAAGATGGTTTCTTATATATTTTCGATTTTAATATCGAACGAGGGGGACAGTGTAAACTGCAGCATGTTCATGATTTACGCAATGTGTTAGAAGGAGTAGTTGGTAATTTTTATTGTAATTGTTGAATAACAAAAATATATATTCACAAATTTTAATTTTCATCTGCTAGAGCTGAATATAAATGAATGCATAGAGAAATTGCCTACATCAAGTATACCTACTAGTCCAGTTGGGGAATCAACAAAATGTACAATAAAACAAGCACAAAAAGATGTACCAAAAACTTGTGCTAGCAGTGTAATAATTGAAAATCCAGATCCTGCGCCTGATAATTCATATGCTGGCATTCTGAAGGGAGATCAAACGGAATCAACTTTAACAGGTATTATTTATTCTTAATTCTTACTTGCGCGATTTTTAATTTAAGTTATTACAATAAATTAATAAATAATTTATTTTTTTTTGAAATTATACTACTAATTCTAAAAGTATCAAAAGCCTATCAAAAATAATGTCTGTGTTCAGTTCTCTTTGTTTTTTTAATCTGCACAAATATTATCTATTAGCTATTTATTTTAATTCACTTTCTTTTATTTATTTATTTTTGTTTTCTTATTCCTTTTAAAAATTATAGAAACATAACAGTTAGATAGTAAAAGAGACACTTCTACTATCTACACATAAATCATAGATAATACATACCAATACATAAAAAGAGTTTCAATGATGCTATTATGAAGAGCCCAAAAACCTACTCGTTTAGTCCGTTTTGATAGTGATGATTAGCACTTAGGTTAGGTTATGCATCTCAATAAGATTTGTATGAAATTACAAAAACAACTACCTTACATGAAAAATGCATTTTATATTTTCATTTTAAATATATTCGGCAGCCAGTGCGAGGTATTCATGATTTTTTTATTTTTATAACGCAAAAGTAACAGTTATTTGTGCGTTTTAAAATAAAAAGCAGAATTTTAAGAGTTATTTCTCCGCGAAAAAATAAAAGGCAGATAAAATAATTATTTTTGAGGAATATAATATAAAACAAATTTAATTATTATTTTTTGAGTTTTATTTTAAAATGCTCACACATATAAAAAACATGCATAATATTAAGGATAATAGTTGTTAGAATGATAACTATATACTTAAATATGAGTCTAGACAACTTTTTGTTGCTGCTTTTTTTCATAAAAAATTTTAAAATAACTGTTATTTTCGGTCCCTGATAAAAAGTAATTATAATTGTTTTGGTATGCAAATTGTCTTGAAATTGCTGTTATCGCAAATTGTTTTATATTTAAAAATGTTTAATTAGCACAATTTTTTTTGTTTCATTTATAAATATCAGTATTAATTGCTTTGTATATTTTAGTAGATTCTGCCAAATTTCGTAAACTCTGTGATGCTATCGATACTCCAAACAAACTCTATGATGAACGACAGTTTCCGCCTGTTGTGATTGCAGCAAAAGATTGACAGAAATAAACCACACTTTCATCAATGAATGTAAAAAGAAAAAAATAAACAAAATATTGTAAAGTAAATAGAAAACTAAAGTATTTTAATAATTTAACGATGAAATTTTGAACAATTAAACAGCATAAATTTATATTTCAATTAATACAATTCATAAAGTAATAAATTTTTTTACTGCCCCCTTTTAGCTTATATAATTTAAAATATGTGTATATATATATATATATATATATATATAGGACAACTACATAAACTTTATATTTAAATTTCTTCACATGTTAAAACTTATGCTCTTATTTATGTTTTTAAGACTAAGACTAGGTTCTTATGTTTTAGAGACATTTTTGGTTCATGGTTATTTATATTTATGGAAAATAAATCCTCAGAAACACTATAATATTTGCAATAAAATTTCGGATATACTCAGATAGTTTTTTTCTGTCTTATTAATTTGTGATAAAGTTTTGTAGAAGCTGCAATATTTAAGTCTTGATATTTATGAGATATGTTTAGTGAAATCTAACTATTTCAATATTTCCGCAATAAATCTTATAAAAATTTTTTACAATCTATATAAAAATTCAAAACTTATGTGCATTCTTGTCTTAGTAGGTATCTAAATCTACTAATACTAAATACGTTTTCAATCTCAAGGTTGTTTTAGTTAAATTCAGTAATGAGTTTTATATACTAAAACAATATTTCACAATTGTAGTGCCTAACAAAATTCAGTAAAACAAGAATTATACTTTATGAGTTAATTACTTAGAGAAATTTAATAATCATAATTATATAAATCAATTTTATATGTAGATATAGTAAAATCATATTTCTAGCGAACACTAATATTAATTAATTAAAGCATTTAAAATATTGTTCAATTAATTTAAGTGTAAACTTAAGTTTGATAATTTAATGAAATATCTTAATATGGGCTTGTTGTAATTTTTTGTTTACGAAAATTAAGTATTTAGTTCATTGAAAGAAAATTTTTGTGATTTGAAAGGTACATAAATAATTTGTATATATAATATATAAATATATTTACTTTATGCATATATATATATATATATATATATATATAATAGTTTGATTTTATGACAATCCATAATTGCGTATTCAAACTAAACAATTTTTATTATGACGGATGTAAGTTTCACAAATTAAAAACGCTCTTTATTGGGATGTATATATATATATATATGTTATACAATATATATGCTATGATTTAAAAAAAAAGATGCTAACATGCGTATCTGTAAAATGATTCGTATGATTCCGTATGCAATTGTGTTCAAAGTATACTCTGTGGTTGGCTACTTTCTGGAGTGCAAGTTTTTAGATTTGAATTAATGACATGAATATATGAAATTAGATACATGTAGTAGATATTTAATGGCATATAGCATATGGTAATTATCAAATCTTAATTAGATTAAAATTTATAATATGTAATAGTTGAGTACATTGAAAACAGTACATAATTACAAAAGTTGATTAATAATTATAATATTTGTACCTAAAGAGTATCCCATTGAATGTATATGTAATTAAAAATTTACCATAGATAATGAAATCCACTTAATTGATAAAGTATTTAAAATCGAAAAAAAAACAATGGAAAACACATCACAAGTTTTGAATTGTATCTAAGATACAAAATAAAAATTGAATAAATTTTTAGCAAAATTAAAATATAATTATTATATGCAATAATATAAAAATGCGAATAATGTAAAAAAATAATAATAAAAGAAACGAAAAAGTAGTATAATTAAAACCGTAAATAGTCTTTCTTTTAAATTTTTTAAATTATTATTACAAGTTAAAAAATTTTTCAGGAATCGTATTTTGTTATACTCTATTTGATTACAGGAAGTTAATTATCCATAAAGGATTATTTCCTAGCTGTTAGTTTAAGAACCAATATTTTTATTGTATTATTCACAATATTAAACACTTGTTAAACGTTCTATTTACTGTCATTGTTCTAGCTTGGAAGAAACCGTTAATATATAAACAAATCTGTTACTATCAGCTAGTCTATAAGAAAAAATTGAGGTTTAGAGCATAAGGAGGACTCGATAAAATTATGAGGCCTTAGTAACCAGCTCTCATGATTTATTTAATAATTCTATATACTTTTCATACTGATCAGCAAAGGTGGTGTATTCAAGATTGATTCCCCCCGTTGATAATACAATCTACCTATAGTACACTGCAAGAAGTCTGCTGCTTTGTTGGTATGTGCTGCAATAAATAACACATTGAGGTTTAAAGCATAAAGAGGACTCGATAAAATTATGAGGCCTTAGTAAACAGCTCTCATGATTTACTTAATAATTCAATATACTTTTCATACTGATCAGTAAAGGTGGTGTATTCAAGATTGATTCCCCCCGTTGACAAAACAATCTACATTTAGTACACTGCAAGAAGTCTGCTGCTTTGTTGGCATGTGCTGCAATAAATCGGATGAGGCGATGTACATATATATGTATAGGTATTATTTTATTTATAAGCTTCATGTACGAGTGTTCAATTATTTTTGTTGCACATGCTGCCTACTGTATTTGAAAAAAATTTTGGGAAATTCTTTAAATGATTTTGTGTAGAAAATTCATAGCAAAACAAACTTATGAAAACGAATAATACTTTTATTTATAGAATATATATATTTTTCTTATATATATATAGGTAATTACATACATACATATACATAAATAGTTTCGGTTGAGGTAGACGATATCTGCGCAAAACGCAACATTGCAGTTCAGTGCATTTTCTCTTGAAATTGTGCAGCTTTTGCATATATCACCCGAATTAAGCGGAATATATTTTGCAATTATGAAACATCTCAAAACTTAAAATTTAATAGAAAAACAAACAAAAATGCTTTTGATAAAATTAATCCTACTAGTTTTGACGACCGGATTTGTCGCAGGACGGGAACAATTTTTCATTGGTAGGTTTATGGATATATTTGTTTCTCTACATATATATATAAAAATATATATAAAATATTAATAATTATAATATATATAATTTCATGTACCTTAGGTGCAATATTTTCATCCGACAACCATGAAGCAGAAATAGCATTTCACACAGCTATTGAACGCGTTAATATATATGATCGAAATGTGGAGCTGGTGCCAATTGTGGAATATGTAAATGCGGATGATAGCTTCATTATAGAAAAAACGGGTATTGAAAATGTAATTCTAATTTTAATTAGAATATTGATTAATTAAATATTTTCTGAATATTTAAGTTTGTGGTTTAATATCGAAAGGTGTGATTGCGCTGTTTGGACCAAACAATGGAGGCAGTTCAGGTGTGTAGTATAAATTATAAAAGAAGGCCAGGTTTCCACGTCAAATAATATATTCTCTACTGTGAGGAATTTTTAAATGAATATAATAATTTCAAATGTAAAAATTATATAATTAGTTGATCCTGAACTACAATATATGCGTATATATGGCAAAACTTTTGAAGCTTTCTCCAACCCAGTTGGGATGAGCAGACGAACTTGAATATCGACTGCTCCAACTATATCAGGATCTTTGAACACATTTTCAAAATAGATACGTCCAATTTGTTGCTAATTGCTAATTGTTTAGTGGTGTGGACGATGAATATATCTTTAAAGAAAATTTGTGCAATAGTACAAAACATTTTGTTATAGCTAAGTTCTATTTATACTCTATAAAGACGTTGGAAATCATATAATGTATACATATAAAAACCATTCGCTTTTACGGTATTCAAAATTTTATCTTGATATAATTATATAGGAAGCGTCCGTCTTATTCGGCATAAATGCGGGAAATGATTGCTTCAAGAAATGTTGCAAGTCATATGGGAATGGGGCGTATCTTTAATATATTCTAATATCTTAGTTTATTTTTTGGAAATTTTTCATTTTTTATTGCTGAAAATCTAATCAAAGTTTTTGTAAATATTTCTTAGTTAATTTTTCATGTTTTAATCCCTTATTATCGTACAGAGATATTCTGCTCAACGCCTTTCATAGTTTTTAGTTTTCCAGGTTCTTCTTTTTGACAAAGAATTTTAGTAAAGACAACTGTTGTAACAGCTCTTTTCATACTTTATTTTGAGTTATGGGGTTTTAAATTTGGTTACTTTTTCATTAAAACCGTTAATAACAATTAGGCATATCATCTGGTTCTCAAATCGGCGTGCCCAGAAAATCGGAATCGCGTCCGATTTTTTTTATTTAATACACGATTTTCTGACAATCATAATTCGACGTCAGCTAACAAATGAATTTGAGAATTATTATTGAAAACATCAGTAGTGATTTTTTCCATTAAATTTTCAAAAAAATTTATTTTCTGATATGAATGAAAATTATCCAATAAAACAAACTTTAAACTACCATAATTTCCGAATCCATTAAAGTTAAAGGACGTATTGAATAATAAATTAGACTTAATTTAATAAACTATAAAAATAATGCAAGTTACGTGGAATATAGCCACTTTTCGGATGTAAATGGATTTTTGGCAGCATTTTCTTTCGGTAGAGGTCTCCTAATCACTTTGTATCTAAGTAACTATTGAAAATGTACCCCATTTTCATATGATTTCTTTCGTTTCTTGAAAAAAAATCAGATAATTTTTTTGTTTCATTAGAGTAATAATACGTTTTTTACAGAAATCATTGCATCAATTTGTAACACTCTTGATCTACCACATATTATATATGATTGGACGCCCAGTGAAGCAATTTCCGATCGAGAGCATTCAACAATGACATTAAATGTTTATCCAGATAATCTACAATTTGCTCGTGGGATTGCCGAAATTGTGCAAAGTTTTGGTTGGAGGAGTTTTACTGTTGTTTATGAGTCCGAAAACGGTGAGTATGGAATAAATAAAAAAATGTACATAGGGTTATTTGAGGTAGTGGTTTTCTGTAAATAAATCGATGATAATGAATAGTTTGTCCTAAAAATTAAATTTCAGAACAACTATATGCTATATGCAGAAGTCATTATAAATGTGAAGTAAAGAATTGAACGTACCCGTGTGATGCGACCTTACAATAAATATGTTTTTACCAGAAAATAAAGTCCTAATTGATCCGAGCCGAAAACGAAATTTCAGAATGTCAAAATGTCATTTGTCAAAGAGCTGTCGATGTTGCGATTATAAAAGACTTTCTTTCCTTTTCTTTTTACCCTTACGTTTTCACGTTTTTCAAGTTAACTTTATTAGAATTATTATGACCAAGGTAATATAAAATGACCAAGATTGAATTCTTCCTTTTTTTCTTCTGCAATTAGTAAAGTTTTGATGTCATCACAATTAGTACATTTTCATCATTACTTCTAATAAAAAACTAACAGAGTAAATATTTCATTTGTGATTTCGATTATAAATGCTGGCCTTTAGCCCAATATATTTATATATATTTGTTGTTGTTGTTGTGATTTGAGTTAGTGCTATTGTGCACTTTTACTCTATTGTGGCTGGGGGCTTATCCTTGCCCCACACTAAACTTTAGCTATACTAGAAACATTATCATTTATTTATTTTCTAACTGATGACGGAGCGTAGATCAGCATATCTTCCTGTGCGTCCTGAGGTGGACTTAAGGTTTGTTAGAGCGGGGTTGGACAACGTATCAACTTCTGTAAATAATTTTAGGGCTCTGTCCTTGATATACTTTTTCACTGAGTCGATTCTTTGATCTCTTTGCATTTAGATTTAATTTAAATCTATTCCAATGACAGTTCTGATTATTTCCGTATTTAGTGTTCTAATACGTACATTTAATATGTATTATGTATATATATATATATATATTGACTGTTTGGGTGAAACATGTGTATTCCTAAAATTGATTATGTTTCTTAGCTTTTCGACGTCTACCCTGCCTAATATTATATCAAATAAATGCATATATAAGTTAAAGACAGTTATTTCAAAAAATTTTAAATAATTTGACATGATTTTACACTGACTACTTCTTGTTGTTTGACTGTACTTCAAAACTGGCTGTTCCAAATATAATAATATATAGTTAGCATTTTAGATCTTTATAGTTTTGGTATATAAGTTATATTTAGATTTCACTTAAAATTACTTTGAGTGTTACATATATAGAATTACAACAACTACAAGATGTTCTGCAAATATCCGAACCTGATGGTAATCCTATAACTATTTTACAATTGGGCACTGATTTGGATTATAGGCCATTTTTAAAAAGCATAAAATTATCAACGGATAGTTGTTTAATACTACATGTCTCAATTGAAAAAATACTGAATATACTACGCCAGGCGAACGAGTTGAAAATGCTCGGCGAGTATCAGGTAAGATTGACTTCTCCCGATGTTGTGAAAAATGTTGCAATAGGTTTTAGTATTGCAATTTCATAGAGCATATTTTTGCCTCAACTGGATGCTCACACTTTGGATCTGCAAGAACTAGAGTTGGTAAGTGCCAATATTACCACTGTACGTCTAATGGATCCGACTGATTTTCATGTTAAAAATGTTGTGCACGATTGGGAAGAGCGGGAAAAGCGAGAAAGTCGGTATTATCGTGTATTGCCTGAAAAAGTTAAGGTTTGTGATATAATTTTATTATACATATTGATTAAAATTTTGTGACTTGTTTTATTGCAGACAAATATGATTCTTATCAATGATGCAGTTTGGATATTTTCTAAAGGTCTTACTGAATTGGGTATTACTGAAAAATTACGTACACCTAATATTGAATGCCATAAATCTCGACAATGGGCTCTCGGTAGAAGAATTATTGAGTTTATGAGAGCGGTAAATATAAATAATAATAATATAGGTTATAATAATACCACATAAATGGCACAATGAAATGCTTATCAAGAGTTTGTTCTATATTTAAAGCGCTCTGAAGAAGCAGCTACAGGTCGTATTGATTTCAATGAGCATGGTGAACGCAGTTACTTTACTTTGCGTTGTATGGAATTATCGTCAACAGGTTTTTTGGATTTAGCTACTTGGGATCCAGTAAATAGAGTTGAATTACTAACTAACGAAGCTGCAACTGCCAAACGGCTAGGAGAAAAAATATCTAATAAAACATTTATAATAACATCCAGAATTGGTGCTCCGTTTTTATCTGAAAGGTTATAATTAACAACAAATGCGTACTAAAATAATGTTTAAAATTGATTTTTACTGCAGAGAACCACAAGAAGGTGAAACTTTAGAAGGTAACGCACGTTATGAAGGTTATTCAATGGATCTTATTGATGCTATTGCTAAGCTTTTGAAGTTTAAGTATGAATTTCATTTAACTCCGGATAAGAAATATGGCAGTTTAAATAAACAAACGAAGCAGTGGGATGGGTTGGTTAAACAATTATTGGATGGTGTAAGTTAATTAATTTCAGTTGTATCAATAATTTTAGCCGGAGTGTTTTTTGATTCACATAGAATGCTGATCTTGGTATATGCGATCTTACCATGACCTCATCACGTCGTATGGCAGTCGATTTCACACCTCCATTTATGACTTTGGGAATAAGTATCTTGTACAAAAAACCATCCATTCCTGATACCGATCTCTTTTCGTTTCTTTTACCATTTTCTTTGGATGTGTGGATATATATGGCTACCGCATCTTTGTTTATATCCTTGCTACTTTTAGCGTTATCGCGGATGGCACCGGATGATTGGGAAAATCCACATCCATGCAAAGAACCGGAAGAAGTAGAAAATGTATGGTGCATAACAAATACAACTTGGCTGACGATGGGTTCGCTTATGGGTCAGGGATGTGATCTATTACCAAAGTAATTAAAGAAGAGAGAGTAAATAACAATAATGAGGCTGTGAAGTTAAACTTCGCGACATGAAATCATTATTTTTAGAAGGGCTGGTTGGTTTTGTTTTCCAAACAAACCAATATAAGATAATGAGCATTGAAATTGGGCATTTAATAAAGTGATAGTGCCCTGAAATAATATAAATTATTTAAAAAATATATCATGTTGTACACACATTAAATGCCCTTCTTTTAGTTTCCGTTAATCATTCTAAAACTTCTGTTTGTTTTGAATTTGAAATTTTAGAGCTGCCTCGACTCGTTTAGTCACTGGCATGTGGTGGTTTTTTGCACTAATGATGTTAAACTCTTACACTGCAAACTTGGCGGCCTTCTTAACCATGTCACGTATGGAAAGCTCGATTAATAGCGCAGAGGACTTGGCGGCGCAGAATAAAATAAAATACGGTGCTGTATTAGGAGGCAGTACATTGTCATTTTTTAAGGTATCATTTAGTGATTACTTTATAAATGGACTATATAACCCCAAAAAATTAAGTGAATATGAATAATATAATGAATATGACATTCAACAGGAATCCAATTTTAGCACCTTTCAACGTATGTGGGCTTCTATGGACTCAGCCACACCTTCAGTGTTCACAAAAAGTAATGACGAAGGTGTGGAACGTGTTATGAAAGGCAAAGGACTTTACGCTTTTCTTATGGAATCTACCACCTTAGAATATATAATTGAGCGAAAGTGTGAACTTATGCAAGTTGGTGGCTGGTTGGATTATAAAACTTATGGTATAGCTATGCCATTCAGTAAGTTCTTTATTATTTTGCATAAAAAGTGAAATTATTAAAATTTTCTTTATAATAGATTCCCCGTATCGCAAGGAAATAAGTGGTGCAGTATTGAAATTAGGAGAAAGTGGTACACTTGCTGAATTGAAGCGTAAATGGTGGAAAGAAATGCATGGAGGAGGAAGCTGTACACAAACTTCGAAAGCAAATGTGGATACACCGGAACTGGAAATGGAAAATGTGGGTGGAGTATTTCTTGTACTAGGCATAGGTTTACTTTCTGCTATTGCAATTGGAGTTGTAGAATTTCTATGGAATGTCAAAGCTGTGGCAATCGAGGAAAAAGTATTTAGTCCGTTAAATATTTTAAAAAATAATTTTTTACAATATTTCATAGATTTCCTTGGGCGAAGCTCTCAAGTTAGAGACTTTGTTTGCGCTTAAAGTTTGGATTGTTACTAAACCAGTGCGCGGTAGTTCTGACAACTCGAGCTCCTCCAGCAGTTCTTCGAAAAGTTCTTCAAAGTCACTTGGATTGTCTACCACACATAGTTTAAAGAGCATTAAAAGCTCAGCAGAGGGGCAACTGAGTGTACACGACAGGCTGCGTAAAATCAGTTCAATGTTTTCCCTCAAATCATTTCGATCTGAACGCATTGATGGCGATACGAACTCAGAAAAACACGATACTTCACAAATAGACAAGGGAACGCAAATGAGTATGTCAAATGAGAAAAAGCATCATCAACATCAAAATAATCAATAAGATAATCACAGTCGCCATAGCAAATTTAAAGCTGAATTTGAAATGTTATTAAATATTAAGAAAATTGTCTATATATGATAATAATACCATAATGCCTTACTGATAGAGTATGTGGCACAATTTTTTATTTTATTTAATCGAAAAATAATATTGAGAGCAAACATGTCAATATGCTTAAATACTGATTTCAGAATGCAATAAAATACTTTTTACAAGCACTTAAATGGTAATATAATTATTATAATATTTAATGCTTTCCGGTACGAAATTCTAAGAAGTAAGAAGGTCATTAGAAGTTCTGGTAGTATGATAAAGAGAAAATTAGAATCTTGAAAGTTATTATGTTGAATTTTTTATTTTTGCAGTCCATAGCTTATAGGTAATAGATAGCCTTCAGTGATCACATATATTTCCAAAGTTGTAAATAATTGCAATCTTACATATTTCGTATATATAGAAAATGTTACTGATATTATAATATTTGATGTATTTCTAACTAATACTATTGATGGATTTCTTTTGGTAGATTTCTTTTGTAATTATATCTTATATATAGAAATGTATATACATTGTTTTGATTGTCGTCATTACATTTATACCATGCAAACCGTTGAAGTTGAAGTTACTAAATTAAATTATAATTACTTTAAGTAAACATAAGAAAACTAAATATGATCTAGATTCTAAAGTGGAACCTGCAGTATTGCTAATATATAAGATATCAAACTGTGTTCACTTTACGAAAGACGGGTATAGATTTCATTTTGGTTTTTTCTGATTTCATCATTTCAATCAGTATCCTTGGGAAAGTTTTCTTTAATACCAGGTGTACCGGTATGAAGTGAGCGTAAAGATACAAATGTTCCGACAGGGAACATTTGTTGTGAATGAACCTTTATTATTTTTTTGTTTGTTTGCTATGACATGTGTGAAATATATTTAGTATACATTAAGTCATTGAACAGACAACATCATATTTTTTCATCGTGTTAAAAATGTTGAATTTTGTACCAGAAAGTGATGATTTGCGGAAAGCATTGATTGTTTGTTTTCATTTGAAGAAAATCGGTGCAGAGTCGCATCGAATGCTTGTCGAGGCATATGGTGATCATGCTCTATCAGAAGCAACATGCAAAAGATGGTTTCAACGGTTCAGAAATAATGATTTTGATGGGAGAAATGAAGAACGTGGAAGACCGCCAAAAAGTTTGAAGACGCCGAATTGTAAACGATATTGGATGGAGATGACACTTTGGGTCAAAAGCAAATGGCAGAAATGTTAAATGTTGCACAACAAACAATTTAACAAATTCTGACCGTTTAAAAGCTATGGGAAAGATCCAAAAGTGTGGAAAATGGGTGCCACATGAATTGAATGAAACACAGATGGAAAACCGAAAAAACACTTGTGAAATTTTGCTTCAAAGACACGAAAGAAAATCGGTTTTGCATCGGATTGTTACTGGCGATGAAAAATGGATTTATTTTAAGAATCCTAAACGGAAAAAATCATGGGTTAATCCGGGACAACCATCAACATCGACTGCAAAACCAGATCGATTCGGCAAGAAGACAATGCTGTGTGTTTGGTGGGACCAGAAAGGTGTGGTGTACCATGAGCTCCTAAAACCTGGTGAAACCGTCAATGCTGGTCGCTATGAACAACAAATGATAAATTTGAACCATGCATTGATCGAGAAACGACCAGAATGGGCCAGAAGACACGGCAAGGTAATTCTGTTCCATGACAATGCACCTGCACACATAGCAAAACGGGTTCAAGATGCAATCAAAACACTTGGCTGGGAGCTGCTACCCCACCCGCCGTATTCATCAGACTTGGCTCCTTCCGACTACCATTTGTTTTCATCGATGGGACACGCATTGGCTGAGCAGCACTTTGATTCCTACGAGGAGGTCGAAAATTGGGTTTGCTTTACCATATATCATCTAAATGCAATAATTAAAACTTTATACTATTTACTTGGTTGCAGTAATTTTAGATTCTTGTAATTTCTTTGAGCTGTCTTTGAGATGTAAGGAAAAGAAAAATATATCTGTACCTCTTACCTCTAGATTAAAGCTCTTTAAAGAATATATCAGCTAACACTTATACCGTGCAATGCTTAATTCTATGGTTATTATTATTATAATTATATTTTATTTTATATTTTATTTTACTATTATTATTATATGGTGGTCGTAAACGCACCATCAAAATTCTTTTTCCTATCACAATGGCTGACGATAAGTCTGCAACTTCGAGCGTGCAATGGCTATTGAAAATAATAATAATATAATAATACGCCTTGCTCGACGTCTATGATTTCGAGCAGCCTCTTATACTGGGCATAGGCTGTCTATAACCCGCTTCCACCTTTCGCGCCGTAACGCTACGTCCTTTATATCTGTAATGTTGCTTATGTTTCTTCCTAGGGGTTGCAAAATGGTGTTTATTTCAGTCAACGTTGACCTTCTCCATGTTGTTTTTGGACGGCCTCTTCCTCTACTACCTTGCGGGTTGTATACCAATGCCTGTTGACAAATTTCGGTGGGAGCTTTTCGAAGTGTATGTCCGATCCATCGAAATTTTCTTTTACGAATTTTAAGATTGACATCTCTAACATTTGTTTTGGTCCAAAGATCGTGATTTGATATTCTGTTTGGCCAGAAGATACGTAAAATTCTGCGGAGACAGCGGTTAACAAATACTCTCAGCTTACTTTGTATGTTTTCTGTAAGAAACCAGGTTTCGCAACCATACAGGAGAACTGAAAGAACGCATGCTTTAAAGATTTTTATCTTTGTGCTCAAACTATAAGTATTGGAGCTCCACACTTTACGAAGCCTTGTAAAAGCACCAAGGGCTTTCTTTATTCTACTTATCATATCTTGCGCTGTACCTCCATTTTCAGACACAATACTCCCTAGATACTGGAATTCATTTACGCGCTCAATAGTCTCCGTTTCCAACTTCAAAGGTTCGTCAATTCGATTGTTTATTTGAGCTTCTTTTGTTTTCTGTGCATTGATTTTTAGTCCGACTTTGCACGACTCTAAAGATAGGTCAGTTAAGTTTAAGTTTCTGTTGCATATCATCAAGACGATGTGACAACTCGCATTTGTCGTCAGCATAGTCCAAACACTCTAGCCTAGTGTTCGGTGACAGTGGGTTCCATACAATTCCTCGTAGAAACAGCAGTGGGGAAAGGACGCATCCTTGACGTACGCCAGAAATTGTACAAAAGGGCTCAGACAGTTTGTTGTTTGCTCTGGTCGAAGTAGTACTTCAACAACTTTTACCATTCTTTCTAGAATAATTTTCATAAATATTTTCATCACAGAACTTAGAACCGTAATGCCGCGCCAGTTTTTACAGTCACTTAGGTCTCCTTTCTTGGGTATTTTGATTACAATGCCATGAAGCCAGTCAGAAGGATAAGTTTCTGTTTCCCAAATAGTTTTGAAGAGCGGGTATAAGATATCCGTTGTTAGTTGCAAATCAACTTTCAACGCTTCGGCCGGGATATTGTCAAGACCTGCAGCTTTTCCGTTTTTCAGCAGTTTTATTGCATTAGTTATTTCTCTTTTTGAGGGATGATCAACCCTAATCGGTAACTCATTTACGTTGTCATTTTGCGTTATCACGATACCTTCGCGTTCTAGGTTCAATATTTGAATAAAATGTTGACGCCATCGGTTTAGCTGATCATTTATGTTTGTTAATAGCTCACCAGAGAGATTCTTGACAGGTAGTGTTCTTTTGACGCTCTCGCCTGTTAGTTTCTTTGTTATATCAAAGAGACTTTTCATATTATTTGACGCCTCTGCATTTTCCGCTTCATTTGCCATTTTGTTAGAGAATTCTTTCTTATCGTCCCGAATTGTCCTTTTGACAAGTTTGTCCAGATGTGTGTACTCCGTTTGGGCTCTCTTTCGATCATTAGGCTTCTTCATGGCATTTATTTCATTTTTAAGTTTTGCTCGTTTTTAGCATTATCCAAGTTTGTGCTGAGATGAAATCGTCTTTGGTATTATTTGACGCTCTACCTAAAGTTTCCATACAGGTTTCATTAATAGCCATTTTTATTTTGTTCCAGCAATGTTGGGGATTTACGTTGTCAGTAGCAGCAGACACTTTTTCAGGGATGAAACGTGAAAAATTTTGCTTTATATTTGGTATTTTCAATTTAGAGACCTTGTATTTAATTCTGCTACAGTTAACCGCCTTCGTAATTCTTATTGGGTTCACTAGTATTTTTCCAACTAATAGGTGGTGATCGGAGCTGATATCGGCACCTCGTTTATTTCTTACATCAATTAAACAGTTACTCCACTTTGCCGTAACACAAATATGGTCTATTTGATTTTGTGTTCTCATATCAGGTGATACCCAAGTTACTTTATGTATTGTTTTATGCGGGAAAAGTGTGCCTCCAATTTTGAGTTCATTCATACCACATAGCTCTACAAGGCGTTCGCCATTGTCATTCATGTCACCAAGGCCATGTTTCCCAATGATGTGCTCTAAATTTTCATTTACTTCTCCAATTTTAGCATTAAGGTCGCCCATCACAATTTTTAAAATAAATTGAAAATAATAACAACAAAAATTTTATTTAATTTATTGAAATTTGGTTGACCATACAACGCTGTTTCGAGTATTGCCAAGTACTCATCGTCAGTAGTCTTAGGAAATATTCAAATTTCTTTATTAATTTATAGTCCGTATATAATTTGTTTGGACTGCAAGTGTCAAGCTTAGAACTCGCGATGACCAATCTTATTTTTCAACAAGTAGCCTAGGCTGCACAAACTTTGAGTGCTGAAGTTTCAGGATTTTGGCACTTTTTTGCTTTCTAAGTGACACTGACCAAAGCACTTGCTGTGCCTTTTTATAAAGTCGAACGAGCTTATAAGCTATAGCTTTAATTGAAAACACAAGTTCAACGAATTGAATTCATTTCTATTTGAATTCTTCTAATTTTTAAATAGTTTCTTCTCGTCAAATATTAATGTTCTGTGTATAATAGCAAATTGAACTGAAAGGACATTGCAGGAAATTCATCACTAATGAAATGACTCTTACGATATTGTGTCATGGGCAGATTAAGAATAACAGTAAAAGGTGAATCAGTATAGCTAGTAATCGCCAAACTATTAAACGCAAAACAACATGGTAAGTCCTGACCACAAATAGGTAGAAA